TCCCGCTCCTGCTCTTCCGCTTCCTGTTTCTCTCCTGAATGACGTTATTATAAAGTATAATAGTCTCGACGACCCCCCTTTCAATGAAAATGCCGTCTCAACGGAATCTATTATGCGAGGGATTGTGAGAACAATTGTGCCTTATCCACACACGAGTTAGAGTCGGTTATGCCAACGTTGATTATGGTGTTTCATAGGAAAAGAGGCTGCTTTATAACTCGCAAGAGATATTTGTGAGAGAATTTAAAGTTGTTTTTCTTCAGCTTTTTTTTTCCCCTTTTTACGTGTCCAATCTCACGTGACTTTCCATTCACGTCGCACAGGCCACCGATGATCCACGATTACGCGGAGGAAAAAATAACGTAAAATATATGTTGTGCGATCTGAATGGAAAGTTCAATTTGGCTCATGAATGACTCATGCGGCGTTTAATGTTAATAAATGGTTTTTTTTTATTTTTAATAATTGGAAATCGAGTTCTCTTAGAAAATATTGAAGATCTCGAACATCGAATTATTAGTTCCGGTAATTATAATAAATATAGTATATAATAAATTTTGCTCTTTTCCATGGATTTCCTTATATATATCTACAAGGGCAAACCTATACTTGGGTTTCAGTCGAGGTAAAAGAATAACTTGGAATAACAATGTCGTGAGGGACGAACGTTGTTTGATATTCCTTCGACACGTGCTGCGTTTAGAAAGTTGGAGAATGTGGAGGATTTATGCGCGCGGGCTGCACGCAACGCATACCAATTGCTATACGTGAAAAGGAATCATATCATTTTTCTCTTTCACCGTCTCATTCTCCACGAAGGAGCTTGTGCGAGTACAGAATCTCTGTGGAAACCTCGGAACTACACCCGGAGGGACCTATTTAGTTGACTCGAACAAACTTCTTGTTTGGATTTGGGCAAACAAATGTTTTGGTTGTAAGAATAAACATTCGGCTCTCTGAATCAAACTTTTTTTCATTTTCATTGTAGAGAACCAAACCTTTGGTTCTCATAACCAAAACATTCGTTTGCTAACATCCAAACGAAAATTGTATTTGAGTCAACTAAGTGGGTTTCTTAGTATAGAAGCGTGCCGATCGTGAGCGCAGTGCGTCGATATAGTTTCTAGAACGCTTTCACATGTTGACGCACACATTGCGCTTCCAGATTAGATGTTAATTATTTCACGATGAACAATAACATTGAATCGCTCGTGCTTTCGAAATTATCAGCAATCGACGGTCATATCGGTGCTTGTGACGTAACATTTATCACGTTAGCCGATACGTATTTATGCGCAGTATTATTATCATTGTAGTCTTGCAATTCTGAGACTTGAAGGAGTATTCTACTCTTGCTGGGTCGAAAAAATGCTTGTATACAAGAATTTTTTTTTAAGTATTGAAGCAATTAAGATGCAACTGTTTTATTATAATTTTTTATTATAATTACTTTTTTATTATTATAATTATTTTATTATAATTATAATTGTTTATTAACATTTATAGATTATAATAGTATTTAAGTGAAAATTGCACAGAGTACATTTCCACTTTGCGGAAGTGATTGCGAACCGCTGATTAAAAACTGAAAATTGACAAAATGGCGTCTCAAAGATTAATAATGCGATTTTCGGCTAAAATTTTAGCAGATATAATTAAGCTCTTGAAATATATATCTTTGAGTAAATAAAAAGTAGGACCAATAAGAGTCGATGGTAGTTGTTGGTTGCGAAAAAAGAAAAAGAAAACTTATTTAATTTGGAAGATGAAGCAATCAAACGTTTCGGTCGTTGATTCCGACCCTTTTTTTCAGTGCAAACGACTGACAAGTTCATCGGCAGTTCATCGGTATGAATGACTGAGTCAGTCGTTCACACTGAGGAGAGTCAGAAACTACAACCGAAACGTTTGATTACTTCATCTTCCAAGTTAAATAATTTCTCTTTTTTTCTCTTCGCAATTAACAACCAGCGTTGGCTTCATACTTTTCATTTATTCAAGAATTTAAAATTCATATAAACTTCGACGCTCGACGGTCTTCAATTGTTCTGCATCGCGTTGATTGGCGAAAACTTGGAAGATTAATTCTTATCTCCAACACTTTCATAATTTTTAATAAAAGCTGCTTTGAAAGTTGCAGGCTGCTAGGAAAGCAGCAATTTCTATACTTTTTATGCAGAAAAAATATCTTTCGGAAATATGACCACAGCGTTGAAGCTCCCATTGCTGTATAAAAGGACATAAAACATAATATTTGTATATATACATATATATAGAGATAGTCGGAAGGAAAAATGGCTATTCGTTTTAAGCCGAGATAGAAAGTGATGAAACACTACGCGCGCTTCGTTTTCTACCTGCGCGCCAATTCTGTTCACGGCCTGTAACTCTGACAAATATTTGAATTTACATTTAAGAAAACTCACAAATGTATTCTTAAGGCTTTGGAATATGTAACAATGAAAAATCGACTTTTCAAACCCACGGTAGAATACCTCCTCAATTGATTAGAAAGCCATTTTATTGCGATGAATACGAAATATTTTCACATCTCTTTGACCGTTTTCGCGAAAGTACAGTTGATCCTGAAGCAATAAATGGGTCCGTAAAAATATAATCCGACAATAAAAGACAATATACAACGAACTTGTATTTCTCAAGTTTATCTTCGTTTAATATTAATAATAATATTTAGCGTTATCGATTAGATATAAATGGTGTAGGATTGTTCTCGACAATAGTGCGAGATAAGAAGCGTTATTTCATTTCCAATTCGACATTTTATTTCCAAAGAATTCCAACTATCTAATCCGGAGATCTCAATTGCTAATCTGTGTTGTGACAATGCTTGACCATATCCACGTGAATACACGGACACGATCCAATAAAAAATACAATGCTGTCTCTACGTCAAAAGATATAATCAACTCATCAAGTCGTAAACTATAAGAAATAAGCGCGAATGAGAGTTCTCGATACGAGATACATTCTCCACATATCTTCGTAACCCCGTTTTACCACTGGGAAAGTTGGGTGCAAAGTTTTCGTGCCGATAACGAGGCTCGATAAGATTGCCATTCGCATCGGCGGATTACACGCCGATACTTATGTCACTCCCCCATCATCGAGAGTGCAAGTGGAACTCGCGCGGGTGAAAAATCGCAGCGACAGATAAAAGAAGCACGCGCGGAATCTGAAACGTCGTGTATAATAGCGCTTACAATTCGCATTAGTAACGCGCGCGAGCCCGTGAACAAAATTGAATGATGTCCATTGTGCCAGTCTCTTATCTCAATCATATCTTTCTTCCGGTAGTGAAGTATTTTGCATTTCAAACGACACTTCGCAAACGCTCTAGACATCCGGCTATTTTAAATATTTTAACCGCTTGAGTTTTGGAATTGTTACGGCCGACTGGGAAATTATATCTCGGAGAGATCGGATCTCTCGGTTTTCTCTTTATAAAAAGAGAAGGAAATGGGATAATCACATATATACAATATATTGAGAGAAAAAGTATCTAAGAAATCAAACATATTTAGATTATATATTGTATTAGCTTTCAAGATATGCAATCACGGAAAACATAGAAAGGCCAATAAAAGTCGAACGCAGTTGTTGGTGCGAATACATTTATTTAGTTTTTTTTAATTTTTTATGGGAGGATAATATATATTTAAGAATGTTTTAGGTATTTTTTTTCTCTCAGCGTAGGCAAATCATTGAGCCGGATGATCATCGAGAAGTCATTGAAAAGTCGCAGTCGAAGATTACCGAGAGACGTCGGAAACGTCGTTCGACCGTTGCAGAGTGCGTCCGGGCTTGCAGAATGAGACGAATTCTTTCGCTATTCTCGAGGGAACTGTGCCGAACATGTATAAATAATTAACATCAATCAACGAGACAGGAGAGAAAGATAACGATTCCCTTCTCTCCACCTTCGCTGTCGCAGATAGCCGCCCTATCGCTGAGCCTAAAAGTGAAAGGAGATTATGCCTCGCCTCCGATAGACAGTTACATCAGCCATCCCACCGAGAAGTCCCGTTTGAAAGATTTTTACGAGCGCGCCTCCTCCTTCGGGGGTCTCTCCGAATTATCTCGGCTGCATTACCGCGGGCTCGTCTTTTCTCGCGGAGTTCCAAGTCGTCATTACACTTCCTCGACCGGTTTGCGACACGAGTGGCGAAGAGCCAGCGCGCAGCGCCGAGGTAAATTCGACGGGAACCGGTTGCACTCGTCGCTGCCGTCGTCGTCGGCGGTGACGCCCGGGGGACAGGTTTCTCGGCGGATGCAATTATTCGGCACGTCTAGGATGCATTTTATTTCGCACGATCGGGGAACGCCGCGGCGATCGGCGCACCACTTTCTCCCTCATTACTCTTGCTCTTTCTCGCCCCTCTTCGCAGTCTCTTCTTCTCGCACTACTCCCGGTGAAACGTTTAAGATAATTTGATCGGATTCGATTAGAGTGAATAAGGTCACGTCGCTCGCTAGTCGATCGCCAATTTCCGCAACAATGAGCCGATAATTCTGTATGCCGCTATACCGTTCGTGATTAATGCGCCCAACGGAAGTGTCGAGATATTCGGAGATAGCGGAGCCGAAGGACAACGAGGATCATTAACGGCCGCCGTGGAGCGGACGAGTGCAATTTTTGCAATCGCGTCGCGCGATGTAAATATGACCGTGAGCGACTTCGCGTTGACGGCGAGTTGTGAAGCAATTATTAATTCAGGGAGGAATTCAGCGTCTTTATCCGAGCAAGATTAATGGGTCCTTTTACGTTGGAGGCAATGAGTAATATTAATTTTCTCCCTTTACAGTGTAACCAGGCATTGAGAGAAAATTATAGTTATTCTCGGTGCCTATAATATCCTGTTGTTAAGAGGAACCACAAAAATAGCAGTAGCACGTAAGATTATTATCACTGACACTGTGATAACATTTATTATTATCACTGACACTGTGATAACATTTATTAAAATAATAGTTCTCTTCACTATTTTTGTGGTTAAAATAACAAAAGGATATTTTTCGCATGGAAAACAACTGAACTGAAAAAAAAAAAATTGTTACGTTCGAGTAAATATTTGCTGTAAGGAGTATTGGGGTAATTTATTTTATTTATTTTATATATTTATTTTATTCGAGTAATATTAAGTAAATATTACTTGAATGTAGCACACTGAAAGAAGAAAAAGTGCTGCACTCAGATAATATTTACTTAATCCAAATAAAATGAACCACTCCAATATTCCTTAGTGAGTATTTACTTGAACGTAGCAATTTTTTTCTTCAGTGCATAATTTTCTCTCAATGCAGAACCTCGGAAGGTGGTTCGAGAGGAAGTTCGATTATTCAAAATGAATTAATGAATTCGATTTTGCTGTACTGAACGCCTAGTTTGTGATCGGGTGCGCCTGAATTATAATTACCGGGCAGAAGGTTACTTGCAAAACGGGTATCCTCGAGCGGAATATTGCGAAATATTTTCGCTTCGCGAAAAAAGTATTGGGCACTTCGATTCGAGCGATCTCGAATCTTAGCGCGGGATTAATTAGCTTATTACGCAAGAGTTTGTGAATCGGTCAGTGTAGATCTCAGTTTCTTTTACCTTTCCCGCGGATGGTGATTTCATAGTTCAGTTATGACAGAATTTCTCTTTCTCACTTCCCCCCTCTCTCTTTCTCTCTCTCTCTCTTTTTCTACGCTCGACCTTCTTGCGTAACGGATAATCTCTTGACATTATATTATGACCTCGCGCGCGCGAGTCTGATCGCTCGCTTGCTCTTGCAAACTTTTTTAGGCGATGCGGATTCGGCGGGGAGAAACGTCGTCATTGAACCCTAAGCGATCCGCTACGCTACTGTTTAGAGCATATGATTAATCATGACGCCTATCATAAACTAATCGGACGCGAGATATCGTTAGTTTGCCGCGACGGATCGACATGCAAACAAAGATCGTTGTGCCGCCGGAATGATCAATTATTCACCGGGCGTCTTTAAAAGAGAGACGCCGAGATACCGCGCGCTCGGAGAGAGGAGTGTATATTGTACGCACTCGGAATTACATGACTCGGAGATAACGACGGTAATGACCGACGGACGTTGCCAGTTTCGAGACGGTTTGCCTGAACGCCGCAAAATGCCTGTATTTTGTATTATATAAGTTCTTTTTAGCCAGGTAGTATCACATGCAGAGTATATGAATATCAGATGATGCATAAGAGAGTATAGTTGAAAAACTCCGTTTTTTGCCACTTTTCTGCGGAAAGAAACCGAAGAAGTTCGTGGAGAAAATTGGAGAAAGCGAGGTTTTTTTTCTTTTTTTTTTCGTGGAAAAAATAGAAAAAAACACAAAAAATTGAAAAAACCCTAGATTATTTCCAAGCCTTTAAAACTTATATACGAAGGAAATATTGTAGTAAAAATGATCACATAAATTTTGTAATATTGGACTATAATGGAATTATAAATGAAATTATGATGTTTGTTGTAATCTTTACTGACACACTTCATTGTACACATTACTAAAAATTACAAAAAAAACACATCACAATTTCGTATGGTATGATTTAACATTATAAAATTTGCGTAGTAATTTTTACGTGAATATATCCTCCGTGTATGAGAGAAAAAGAGAGACTTTTCTTTATCATCGAAATATGACTGACGTTAACCCATTAACTGCCAAATTTTTTGTTTTGAAATTTTTGGCCGGATAAGTTATATATATGCACAAAAAGTTGTGTAACAGTATAATTATATTCAAATTATGTTTTGAGCCCCAAATGGGGATCGTGGCAGCTAATGGGTTAATCCGAGCTGAGTTCTCTTGGAATCTATCACGAGCACTGCGTATTTTTCTCTTATCTTTTTCTTTCTGTTTTTAAGAACCCGGCAGGCTGTCGACTGTGCTTTGTATCATATAATACGCATTTCGCACATGCGTATACTCACATATGTCATACGTATAATTTCATGAATTACATGTTTTGCAATAACGAAAAGAGTCGATAACGATATCGTGTTGCCTAGAGGCGTTCTTGCAATCGTGACTAGTTCGCCTTTTGTCGTGCTTTCTAAACTGCGACTAATCGTAATGTCCGAAGTGTACTTTCTAAAATATTGTAAAATAACGCGAGTGTCTCGTCGCGTTTCACAACGGTCGAATTTGAGATAAAAATTCGATGACTCTCGATGAGTTCCTCGCTTGTTTTTTTCGAATTTATCTAGTTGCTTATCTTATTAACTAAAATGTTGAGCGCCAGATAACTCGAAATCGTCTGTCCACACCCATATTTTCCGATGAACCCCGCGTTTCCTCTACGTAACGTTTACTCTATCTAAAATTGTTGCAATATATCAGATAAACTAGAATTGAAAGTCATTTCAAGTTTAAGTACATTCGAGTCATTTCAAGTACAAACAGTTAATCTTATCTCGCAATTAATTTCAAGTAGAATTTTCATTTCGATCGGGTCTTCATATCGAATTCGGTTATCGAGGCGCTCAACATTAAAATCGGACGTGCGTGTGCCGAATATTGTATAATATAATTGAATTGGTTATTATCATGGTAATAACCTATCTCTTTTCTTTTTTGTAAATTACCTAGCCTTATCAAACTTCGTGTAATCGTAATTTTATATAATTAGTTATTAATTTACTTTTATTTTTGTATTCTCTTCGTTACTCTGAGAAGAGATTCGTCCTATAGATAAATAAATAAATAAATAACTAATTAAATATGTGTGTGTGTGTGTGTGTGTGTGTGTGTGTGTGTCTGTATAATGTAAAAACAGGCGTCGATAGAATTTTTGCTTCACATCGAAGATCGATTCTAAATTAACTTATCTAGAATGAATCTCAGCGATAGAAACGCGTAAATAATTAACTTTCGTCATAAGAAAAATATCACTAATCATAAAAACAATTAGAACAACCGATGAGATTAGAAAGATAAGGATGTACAAATTAAATACGTCAGCGAAATTCGATTTTGTAACGGCCGAAGCTTGAAAGCGTGGACAAACACTTGCCCGTTAACGAATTGTCTGAACGTCCAGGGCGCCGAATTTTCAAGTGGAAATGATGAGAGAGAAAGAGAGAGAGAGAGAGAGAGAGAGAGAGAGCACTTTGCGTTATCGCTTACGTCGTGAAAAGTTCCTTATATTTCCGCTCGAAGGTTAACGCCCGTACAAACGCGAGAGCGACTTGAACAGATCTCTCTTGCGCATGTATGCCTAAATAGAATTTTCGCTCTACGTGTTACAGGCGTTATAAAAGAAAAAAAGCGATGTTGACGTTGATCAATGTGTATTATCCAATCATACTGTTAATCGGTACTCACGTCAAAGAGCGCGAAAGATTGCGTTATAAATAAATTGCTTCGCATTAAAATCGTTCGGGTCGCCTGAGTGCGCGATAAAACGCGCAGACGTACACATTGTGACACTATCATAGTTTTGCTCGCAAAGTCAGAATTGAAAACTGACGTAAACAAATGTGAACTTGACAAACGTTCAGTCTGTTCCGTTAATGTAACCTGTCGTTGAACAATTATCGACACAAAACGCAAATGTTTACGTTCCTCCGCTAACAACGGTCAGCAGTTTTGCAAAACAAAAAACAGCTGTATAAATAAATCATTCGTCTTAGAAAAAGTCTGCTCTGTAATTTTCAAGTTTCGGAAAAACGCCGTTTTTTCCCAATTTTTCTTTTTTCTTCTCCTTGGATGTTTTGGTTTCCTTACGAAAAGAAAAATAAATGTGGCAGGTTTTAACACCGAACACACGTCTGAATTTTTCCAAATGCATTTCTGATACCCTCGGGACAGAAGCCGAAAAAATCCTCCATGAAAAATTGGGGAAAACTCGGATTTTTCTCCGAAACTTTAAAACCGTAGACTGCTCTATACACACGCACACATACGCGCGCAAAGATACACGGTGATAAAAGGAAATTCAAATGACGACAAACAAATGACGAATCGAAAGAGAGATATTGTTAATAAATTCAACCGACTTGTTAGAATTTCAAAAGGATGGCGCGCTTGCGTTTATCTCCGGTTCGGGCGTCGATTTTCAACCGCTTTAAAACGAAATTCCTCCGAAATTTGTCCAACTGTGCTAAATTCAATCGGCCGCTCTAGATTGCGGTGCGCTGCGCCGTGAAGGGAATGCGGAAGCGGATCCGTCGCGCAAATAATAGTAACAGGCATACGCCGTAATTTCGCCGTCGTTTCTCTCACCTCTATGTTGCCCATCGTTTGAAACGCCGCGAACACCAGCATGAATCCCCAGCTGAGAATCATCACGTTCAAAAAGCCCCGGTCGATGTTCATGGTTGCGGTTGTGATTTCGCCGAGCGGGACGGAAGGAAGGAAGCAATTCGTCGTGTGCGATTAGCGCGCGCGTTTCACGCTGCCGGATTACTCGCGCAAGTGTCCGCCGCAGTTGACAGATGGTTGCCGCATGGGCGATGGAGAAAAGCCGCGACGGCGAGCGACAGCGCTACATAACTGGAGCTTCGGTGCGCCTCTATAAAAAACGTCGAGTTGTCCGTGAAGTGAGCGGCGACTCGAGCGAGCGAGCGAGTCATCGATCGTCGAACACCGCCGCCATTGTCTTTTGCGCGCGTCTTTCGAATGTCGCAGCCAAGTTCGTTGCGTCGCCGATCAGGTGTTCCGGTCGATATAACCTCAATTTGTAAATTAAAGGCGTACAATTGAAGAGCGTCTCATCAGTTTTCGCCGGAGGTATTTCTCGCTGACATTGAGCAATTTGACAAGGCTCTACTACGTAAATATTATTTGTGACGAATATTTCAAGTATTTTAATTAAAGATCTGTTCTTCTTAGACGAACTGGTTGCGCTAATTCAAGAAATTCGCGCACATTGAAGAATCTCGCATGTACGTTTTGTATGTTTCAATGTGCGGAAATTGTAAATTGTAAATCTCTTAAATGGGGCACTAGTTCGAAAAGTTTGCATAGATACTCTGATGGAAATATCATGCTGAAAATTTTACTGAAATTCTCCTTCAATCGACTCCATTTCATCATCGTTCCATCAACCTACGCTACCTACGTACCTATGAAATAGAGCCAACTAAGAGAATATTTCAGCAAAATATTTCCACCGGAGTATCGAAGCGTATGTACGAGATTTTCACGCTTCAGTGTGTTCCTCGGATTGGTGCAGCTAAAAGTTCAGTTAAAAGGAACAGACCGATTGAAAGAGAGGTTAAAGTCGGATAGTGACGCTTACTGTTCTCCTTCCTTCCTTCCTTCCTTTCTTCCTTCCCCCAATAAATGGCTAGGAACGCCCGATACTATCTCATCGAGGAAGAATCGATGACGAATCGGTCGGAAATCTACGGTGAGGATGTGTCACCCGATAATCATAGGATGCGCTCCGCGAAGCTCGGCGGGAACGATTTAGCTTCGAGTTCGTAGTAGAGCCGGCCCTGGCAGCTGACCGTCGCCGAGACCGAGATATTGAATGGCTTGATAAACGGTGTAAAACAGCGGCCGATATATCGCGCACGATAAACTTGGCGCGATTCAAGGTTCAGGTTCGCGCAACTTCCGCTCGCACAACAGCCGCACTTTCCTGCACCTCCGTGCTCACTCGGAGTGAAACAGAGGTACGTTCGAGCGGCCGGTGGGACAAAGACGGGTGGACCGAGCGTGGGGGAGTGCAGTCGCATCGCAATGACGAACCTGCACATCGCGGTCGAAACGGGGCGATAGGCGCGAGTGATCCATCGATCATGGGCGAGTCTCAAGGGTAAAGAGATTGGGTGCCAGTTTGACGGGTTCGTTATCCGTGCGTTTATCGGTAGGCTCGTCGGTAGGAAGAGGCCGTCCCCCCGTGAAAAGTGAAAACTGCGGTCGAATGTCGTTCGAGTTGGCGGGTGGAACTGCAGAGAGGCGCGTGTCCGACGCGCGGCGAGCTTCAGGCCGATCGCGTCGTTGCGCGTGGAACGCAGCGGAGTGATCCGCGCGCGAGTATCGTTATTTCCTGTCCTCTCCACGGCGAGTGGTCGAGAGGACAATGTGAGCCTAGGTGTCGTCGCGTGCCTGAGACAATCGGCCGTTCGTTGGACCTGGAGGGTACCATAACCAACCGTGTCGATGCCGCGACGTCGCCGGGCGTCGTTATTTTCCCCTCATTGTCCTTCCGTCGCGACTGAGATCGCAATCTAGAGTGAGACAGAGCGAGACTGGGAGAGCCGCAAAGTGCTAAGTTGGACTGACCTAACCCAAATCCGTGTGCCCGACGTGAGTAATCCCCCGGGTCCTTATCGGTTTTATGGACTTTATCGATGGTGCGCGGAAATAGCTCGGCCGTAAGCCCACCCGTGACCGTTCTCGTGAACTGTGAGATCATTGTACAAACATTATGACGGACGCTCGCCCTCATCGCGATACGAAGGATCCACCCTTCCTTCTCTCCCGCGTATTTGTGGTGCCGCGTGACGGCGAAGGACTCACGGAGGACCATGCACGTGCGTGAACGCGCCAGGTCGAAGGGCATCGATGCGTAAAGGTGTGCACGAGGTGGCTCAGCTGTGATTTCGCTTGCACTGTCGACAATACCAAGCAGCCATGAAGAAGCAGTTCTTCCGTGTCAAGCAGCTCGCCGATCAGACCTTCTCCAGGTGACCGGTCGTTCCTGCCGTCTTATGATTATCTTTTCTAACATGTAATCTGGTGTTAGTTTCCTCGGGTATCAATTTCCTGAGGTATATTCTTGTTCTCTCTTCAATCGTACACTTGGCAATCTTTTCATTTAATACGGTTCAATATTTATATATCAATTACGCGATAGCTAGATTAGGAGAGATAAAGTATGGGCTGCAAAAGATAAGATCTTGCTGCAATTAGATAAGGGGCATTTGAGGAAAACATTTATTTTTTGCTTGCGGACAGAGCGGGCAAAACGGAGATGCTGACGGACGATCTGCAAGCTGCCGATAAACATGTCGAACAAATCAGAGCAGCTCTCACTGGTCTCAGTAAGAGACTTGGGAATCCACCGAATCAAACAGCTACGCAAGAGGCTTTTAAGGAGAAACGTTTGGTAAATATTATTTGTATCGTATTGATCATAATGTCAAAAATTGGGAGATATATACAAGTGGAAAATTTGCTTTTGGAGAAAAGCATCTCTCAATCAAGGCGCATGTATCGAGTGGTTATTATATGTTAAATTCTTACTCTTTAGAAAAAATGCCACGAGTACATACTTGGGCAAACCATGCTGGAGAATGCTGGTGAGGATGGCCTCATGAGTTTCGCATTGCTAGAGTGTGGCAGAGCACAAATGTCATTGGCTAACGAAACTGTGGAACACGAAGCGAAAGTCGAACAATATGTAGCCACTCCGCTGCAGCATATTTTAGAAACCGATGTACCAAATATATTGAAGCATAAGAGAAATTTAGCGCGTCTTACATTAGACATGGACAGTGCCAGAACGAGATATCTTCAAGCGAGTAAACATAGCGCTGGTAATGCTCGAAATTTGCTTCTTTAAGTACTCTAAGGGACATTGAAAATGCTCCACCCAGAAGGATGTATCGGATTGGGCTGAAACTTGGTAAACAGGGAGACAGAACGCGTTCAAGTGATCCCAGTTCACTGGCGAAACAACCGTGAATTCATACCAGGATGACCCAGATGCACTATTAAGGAGGAATGCGTTCTGTGGGCCCATTCAAATAAGTTCTGGGTGGAGCATTTCTACCATACAAATCTAATCGACGATTGACCCAACGGAATTGACCGATCGCATTTCAGCTAATTGGTCAATTCTGTTGAGTCGATCGTCGACTCAACAGATTCAAACCACGATGGTGGAAACAGGCATTAGTGTACATTCACACAGATCCTCTGGAATCATTCCGCTAACGCACCTCACTACCGTACACAGGTACAGGCGCAGCAAAATTGGATAACCTGAGGGAGGAATTGGAAGAGGCTGAATCAAAAGTCGAACAGTGCAGAGATCAGTTGGCCGCAGAGATGTTTCAGCTGATGTCGCGCGAAACGGAACTAGCACAGACGATCATCCAGTATGTGAAACTTCAGCGTGCTTACCACGAAAGTGCACTGCACTGTCTCGAGGACCTCATACCTGGATTAGAGAGCTACATTAGTGAGTTTTATTTCAAGTACACGTGCACGAAAATCCGAAAAGTGCTCGTCATTGATGTCAATCAACGATTGGCGAGCTGTGATTCACGAGTGAGACGTGCGGGACGATTAAACAGCGATCGGTTGCAGATGATAACGAAATGAAGCCGGTGTACGGATATCCTCTCGAGGAACACCTCAGGGTAACCAATAGGAAAATCGCACTGCCCATACAGCTGTGCGTGTCCGTGCTGTTGCGTTTGGGCATGGAGGAGGAGGGCCTTTTTCGAATAGCCGGCGCCGCGTCGAAGTCGCGACGGATCAAATTAAGCTTAGACGCCTGCTGCCTCACGCTGCCGAGGGCGTTGGAATACAAAGATCCGCACGTGATCGCCGGCGCGTTGAAATCCTACCTGCGAGAATTACCGGAGCCTCTTTTGACATACAAGTGAGTGGTAGGCGGATTATCCGCGAGATCAATAATTGCTATCGTGATGATACTGTACCGCCGTATACGATGTGTCTGCATGTAACCATATGTCACTGTACCGCATGTGATTGCGATTATGTAGATTGTATCCCGAGTGGATGGCTGCTGCGAAGATCGCGCACAGCGACGCGAGGTTGCGTGCTCTCTGGGAAGTGTTGCATAAGTTGCCACCGGCGAATTTGGAGAATCTGCGGTTCCTAATTAAATTTCTGGCTGTGCTCACGAAGAATCAAGATGTAAATAAGATGTCGCCGCAGAATATCGCTATCGTCATCGCGCCGAACCTGATTTGGAGCCCGCAAGAGGATGCGAATACGATAGTGTACGCAATTCTGTAACATGCGTGTAACATCNCGGTTTCTTGGGGGGGGGGGGAAGATCCATCGACACATTCCCACCTTAGTGGGAGATTATGTTACTAAACTTCGATGTTTGCGTCACCTTCTAGTGCTACATTGCCTGCGTTCCCTACTTCTAAACGTTCAAGTTTCAAGACTACATATTGCTCGTGGAAAATTCTCCATTGTTGTCGCATGTAAAACATGAGAAAGTCGGGGAAACTGAAAATTAATTTCTCGTGGCGACCCCGGCGACCTATTCTGCTCCGTTTAATGATGCGTACTTACACTTCCTTCGCATTTTATTGCAGGATGAACATGAGTACAGCGAACAACTCTAGTCTTATAGTAGACCAATTAATTACGTACGCGGACTGGTTCTTCCCGGGCGAGATGGATTTCGACCGCGACCTGGAAATGGGCATCGTGAGCGACTCGGAGAATCAGACTGTCGGTATGCGCCGTTGCGTGTCCAATACTAGTCTCAGCGATCACGGCGAGAGCCCGCCGCAGGGCAGCCCGAAGCCGGCGGCGCGTCGGAAGAACAAGCCAGCGCCGACGCCGCCGAGCGGCAATACTCCGGACAAGCACGAGAGGAAGTGCGACGACAGGCAGCCGCCACCGACGCCGGACAAGCCGCCGAGAGCGTTGGCGTTGGCCACGTTGACTCGACCGACGCACAAGCCTCACAAGTACGAGCTGAACGCCGAATCGACGAATCGAGGCCACGACGACACGGCCGACCGGCACGAGAAGCACGCCGAGACGGACGCGAAGCAGCAGCCGGTCGTGGAATCGACGGCCGATCTTCATCCTGCGGACAATCCCGAGCGATCGCAGGAGACCAGTACTCACCAAAGCGAAGTGTTCAATTTAAGCGACGTAGAGAAGAATATCCCGGAATTACAGAGATGCGAGGCGAAAGTGAGCGCACCGAGCGCAAAGGAGAAGCCGAACGCGGTCACCACGTCCTCCGACAATGTCGTCAAGTCGGTCGTGGAAGTGGAGCATAACGAAAGTACGGCGCAAAAGCCAAAACCAGTGCCTACGGAGAAGCCATCCACGTTGGAGAGGAGAAGACCGGTAGCAGCGCCTAGAAGTATAACGAATATCACGCAAACAACAGGTAACATGTTTTTCCTTTTGTTCCTTCTCTGATATCGTCCCGTGTGATTATCTTCGTTCAGTTTTAGCGGTTTTAGTGCTGGACAGAAAGATCGCAACACTTCCTTTCGATAAGTTGTGTCCATTAGGAAAATATGTTCCTTTTGGTTATTCCAGATAGAAAATCGATTTTCCTATCGGACACGAGATGCGAAAAAGTGTCGCAACCGTGTCCCATCCGTGCAATATTTGTGTTTGGCTGATGTCTGACCGAATTTGTGTCTCATTGCAGAAGACGGAGTCGAGTTACGCAAAAAGTCAGACAATAGCGTTGCGAATGTACAGTCATCGGGCGACAGGAGCAGCAAACCCGCGATCCCTGAGCGGCCGGCTTGTTTGATGCGTCCGTCGAGTCTCATCAGACAACATCCACGTCACAGTAACGAAAACCTAGAAACCGATCCAGGGGTGAGTAAAGACTCGCCGACGCGGCGAGAACGTGTTGTTGACTGATAACCATTTATGATATAAGCATATAGTTGCTACAAGTGTGGACGACAAATAAAACTACCTGGATATTGCATTTTGAGTAAAGTTACGTAAGCTATACATATCACGAGAACTAAGAAGAGGGGAACCAACCGCACACACACACACACAGTGTCCGATGAATGAAAGCTTCCTCACGCGCGTTACGCTTGTCGCTATCCGCGTAGTACTCTCCGTTACACACAAATTTCGCTCACCGTTCCAATCCATCGATAACTAATTGCTCTTCTCTCGTTGAACCGTCCGCAGCCTCTAACGCTGGAACGGGCGCACGTATACTCCGTGGAGAAACAGCAGGTCAGTATAATACAAGTGCGTGGGAACAACAGCAATGCGTTGTCCACACCGGGCGAGAGCACTGGCAACACGGCAACTTCGAACTTGCAGAGAAGCCCAAGCGTGGGTAGCCGGCCGTCCTCGATATCTCTGTACGGCTCCGAACGCCGCGAGGAGAGAGCCGCGAGGCCGGCGGAGCAGTCGTGTCAAGCGCCGTGCGCCGAGCAAGCGAAAGCTCACGCGCGCACTAGATCGGAAGGCAACATTATCGACGTCCAGACACAGACCGACGCGAGGGTCGTCGTCAGGTCGCCGCAGCAGAACGTGCCGGCATCGCCGAGATTCCACCAGCGACCGCCGCGGCCGCAGCCACCGCCGCCGCCGCCGCCCAACGTACGGCCTAAGTCGGAGCAGGAGAGCACCAATCTCTAGAAGGGTCTCCCCTCGAAGAGAAGCGATTATTCTCGAGAATGACGCCGCGTCTCTTTCATGCGCGCGACAATATGTCACTGTATATGTAGAAACTCTTCTATCCCCGCGGATAAGAATCCGCCGGCGGTTAACAATGAAAGTCCTCGTCCACAGTTGAAGAGTGTCGCGTCTTCGCGAGTCCGAAGGACCGAACTTTATATATCACTACGGGAACAGAGCGAGATATCCGCTCGGTGATTCCGCGTACGGCGTTTCACATCGAGTATGTAAGTTCGTAGGTTTGATAACAACACACACATGGACACACACATTCGGACAAAGTTACTCTATTTTTCCCGTGATCTCCCTATTTATACGACTTCTTATTGTATTCCGATGATAATCCTTAGAAGAGAGAGAGAGAGAGCGTTTCCCGACGAAACGCCATGTGTACGGAGGCAGAGACGGGAGGAGGTCATTCGAATATGCATTTCGGACGTTAAAAAAAAGCGCATCCGGCAGCTCCCAGCGCGCCGTATATTACTTTCCGAATCCCTTTGGACACATACGTTACCTAATTTCTCGGTAATCGATGACGACGACGACGATGATGATATTTTTGCAGCTTACCAACTTTTTATACTTGTAGCAAGTAAGGAGAGAGACAGAAGCTTTGAGTGTCGTTTTTAAGAGTGAGAATATCAGTTCACACATCAGATCACCACCACGTGAGCGTTGAAGCGCACAAAGCTAGCTCGGTGTGCTCAATATACGTTAAAAGGTAATTAACAGAATCGACTTTAGCCCGCGAAAGTTATCAGCATCAGCGCTTACGACGAGTACTTTTGATTGACACACGTCCATTCGAGGAGGGGGGAAGGGGGAAAAAGAGCTAACGTAAAAACAGGGAGGAGTGGTGCGATCAGTGCGTCGGAATTGATTCAACGGGTGATATTTTATTAGCGAGAATTAATCGAAATGTTTGTTAATCGTTATGAGTCGCCGGATCTACGCTCGAAGGAGGACGTGTCCGTGCGTTATTATTATATCTGACTGATGCAATGCGCGACTTTCGAATTATTATCAACACCTGAGAATGAAAAGGACTTGTTTTTTCAATATATGTTGAAAGAAATGAAATCACAGTTTTATACATGTTCGTTCAGATCCCGAAGTGTCTCCATAACAATGAACTCTTGATTGGACGATCGCGCCGAATGGTTGAGTTTGTACACGCGTCTTGACACGAGAGAAAAAATAATTGTCGATCACGTTGCATCGATACGAAACGTTAAGTTTGATCAGTTCAATATATAAAATTCGAGAAGTTAAAATTGATTGATTTCTCAAAGCTTTGTGTATAGGTAAATTTTTAATCCTCAACTAACATGTCTTAAACAGACGGTGATGTATTCGATTCCATGGTGGAGTCAACTCTAATAACGACCTTGCATTTCATTATAACAAGTTGATGACGTATTGTCCAGCCTATTTTCTTTTTTCTTCCTTAATCATAGCTTTCGTTACTTATAAATAAAAACGTCTAAAGAATCCTAACGTCAGAGAAGACAGTCAATAGCTAACAATATTTTTTTTGTATTTTATAAAATTCCTTACAGAGATTCTATGTACAGGAACACCTAGATTTGACACCACCATAGTAATTGAGGGTCAACCCTCTCTAAATATGTAGCAAAATTCTTTTTTTTTTTCTTGCAATGGGCTAAGAAACTCTTCGAATGGTTTTTTTTTTTAGATTTTCGACAATTTTATAAATTATTTAAGTATAAGTTGTGCCTTGTAAAGTAACAACCGAAAGATCTCGAGTTTGTTGTACTTCGTTCCATTGAGAATGCTAGATTTATAAAATTCGAGAAGTTAAAATTTATTATTTACGTGCTGTTACAAACATGTATTTTGATATTAAAATTGAGATTTAAAAATATCAAGGATCACGCATTATCTGCTTTTGTTAAAAAAAAAAAAAAATCGTTAAAAATCTCACATGTGCAATGTAAATTTTAGTAATTAGCGGACACTCTTCATTTCGAATATCCTCGTAAAGATATATAATGTTAACTGTAAAAAATACAGTATTATTGAATATTCATTTAATTATTGATTCAAAAACATAGAGGTATATTATATGAACGATTATATTTTACGAAATTACGAAGGAAAACTGATTGGTATAACGTGGAGTTCTAAATTGTATAATTATAAGCCCAGATTTTTACTTATTATTTTGCGGATTTTACTATTATTATGAGTAAATAACACAAACCTTGCATTCTCCACAGATTCCCGTGCGCTTAATATATCTCTAAGTTCACACAATCGGTTGCCGTTTTCCAACGATAATTAGGCAGCGGAAGAATGATGAGAAATCTAGCCAATGACAAATCACGCATTTATCTAAGGTGTGCTTAGGCTGTGAATGTAATGGACTACTAGAGGATTTATTTGTATATAAATAAAGATTTACTCTCTATCGGAATTCCTGTAGGTGAACTGGAACTGAGGTATATTTGTTATCGTTGTCGTGTCACCACCGGGGCGGAGAAACTTATTAATCCATCGAAAATTTATTAATATATTCAAACAGAGTAACAATCGTTATCATATTGTGTGCATGTGTAACACAAGAACTACGGTAGATAGCGTTAGCAGAAGAGATCCTTAGTCGCGTCAATGGCGATATCTTTGGGTGTCATACCATCTCCATTTTTTTTCGATGTATCGGCCCCGATCGAAAGTAAGTACCTCACTGCTTCCACATGACCGCAGCATGCCGCGTAGTGAAGGGGCGTTTGCTCCTCGAGATCGAGGGAATTTAGGTCCGCGCCTTGCTCGACCAGAAACTTTAAGATTCCAACGTGGCCTCGATCCGCGGCCCAGTGTATGGGTAACAAACCGACTTCGTCCTTCCACTCCGCGAGTCCGGGTTCCTTGCTCACCATTTCCCGCACCCTCGCCTCATTGCCCTCCTTCAACCAGTCCAAGAACGTCTTCTCCGTGTCCTTCAACGCCGCATCTGTGTTGGGTAACTTGCTGACGGAGGTCCATCCGCGGGACTCGTCGAACTTCGCCTCCTCTTCCCACGATGGATTCAGCCTCGCGATGATGTCGATGTAATTCGCCATTGCAATCTTCTGGCTCATGTCCTCGAGTTTCTTCCACGCCTCGTACTTGCGCACGGCCTGCATCTGGTACCAATTGGGCCTCGAGATGTCGCAAGGGCCGACGGTGGCTTGCTTGTATAAACCATACAATGTGAGCAATTTATCCGCATCTAAATCCCATACTAGTGATTGCATATACTTGCTAGCTCTGTTGAATCTGTCCTCCAAATCCGTCACGTTTGATTCGCACTCAGCCATGGTTGTGGTCTCAACTCACCTTTGTCTTCTCTCTCTCTCTCTCTCTCTCTATCTATCTCTTTCTTTCTTTCAGTTACGTGTATCAAATTTTTCGTTATTCAGATCCTCCCCGCCATATTTAATCATCACGGACAAATTCTGTCCATCCAGGGTGTGTTCGTGTTGCAACACGGAATCCACGTGTTGCTTTTTCAAGAACGTGATATACCCGTAACCTTGACTGAAACCTGTTTGCTTATCGAACACTACAGTGGCATTTTGCACGTAGCCGAACTGGGAGAAGTACAATGCTAGCTGCTGACGACCTATCGTCCAGGGAATGTTGTTAATTTGAAGCATGTACTTCACAAGATTACCGGCCATAACTTGTGCTCGACTTTATTATCCCCACGTGGTAGACTCGCTCGGCCTTTACGTCCCTATCGTCGTCGAATATCCAGTAAGTGTATCGTGTGAGCCTGCATCAACTCGTCCACACTGACGTTGGAATTCGCGCCGAGATCGTCCAACGGTACGTGTGTGCACGTGAGACCCCACTTATTCAAGAAATGCTCGATCGACCAATCGGCACTGCGTTCTTGGTACGTGCAGAGGAACCTCGCGTGCGGATTCTTCTCCAACAGGAACGCTACGATGACCACTATATCCTCGAACACAGTAGGCTCATAGAAGCAGTCCGAACCGATGATCAGGTCCAATGGCCCGAGTGTGAACAGGCTGTTTAGGAACAAGCCCCAGGTGATACCAATAATCCTTACTTGGTTTTGAACCCCGTTCAACTCGGTGCACCTCCTGATGTGCTGCAGGGCTCTGGTGTTGTTCGCGGAATCACTCAGGGTTACACTGGCGCCGCACTTGCTGGCAAGAATGCCGGGTAATGAAGTGCCAGCTCCGAGCTCCAACACGTGCTTCCCAACCAGGTCGTCTCTATGCTCCCAGAGAAACAGGGCGAGCACCGGTGCACAGGGCCAGATGTAGAAGCTGTAACTAGCTTCCAGCAACTGCAAAGCGATAAGTACGTTTGTTAGAGACAATTCACCGTTGGACTTTTGTTCTTAACGTCAGAAATATCGGGATCACCAATTGGTCCGGGCTTGCGATTCTCCGCGACCCTGAATTACGTAACACAAACCGTCCCAACCGTGATCTCGCGACGATTAAAAAATTCCGCGGCATCGGGAGGTACAAACCGTACGGGAACGGTGAAAGTAATCGATGAGATGTTAAAATTTGGCAATTTTTATCTTCGTGAAATCTCTCCTCGCGTCATATCATCATGTATGTACACACGACGTTACCGCTTTGGCGAGAATGCGATAACACCCTCTGCTCTGCCTGGACGTTTTCCGCCGGAAGTACGTGTTCTATTTCGAACGTTCCGCTCGATTTTTCACAGAGAAAACCTCGAAGAGAAACAGTCGAAGGTATCGTCGACGCGGCCAACCAGCCATGTTGTTGACTCACGCGAGAGAGCGACCTAACCGAAAAGTGCGCGTAACACCAGTAGCTCGCGTTCGTTCCCGAGGAATCCGGCCGGCCATCTCGTCGGAGTCTCGCGCGCGCGATTTCCGCTTCACGAGAGTCCCGTCGCGCCGCTCACCTCGGGTATGCGAATCTCCAGACTCTCCTCGCTCTGCGTGCCGTCCTGCGCAGTCCTGCGCGACGTGAAAACGAACGTCTTCACTTTCTCGGACGAAAGTCCATCGGAAGCTGAAACTCCGTCGGAAGCATCATCGGACATTAGGCCGTCGTGCGTGGTCGTGGGCGGGCTCGTCGTGTCGTGCGAAATACTCTCGTCTAAAGCCGGCATCACTAACGCGCTCTGCGCCCGCAGTAAACGTACTTCATCGTGACCATTTATTTACACCGCTCTTTACGCGCCGTTCGGGTCATTGGGATGCGTCTCCGCGCGCTTTATACGCGTCCAACCGTGATAATATGGACACTGAATTGTCGAGGGTAGTCCCCGGGTCTCCCGATCAGCCCGGCAGGTGGAGCTCCCTTCGTTCGCTGTATTATCTTTTGCACCTGCTGTCTGTCTTCTCTCTTCCTCTTCTATTCTTTGTCACAGGTTGAATTTAGTACTCTTTCTCTCATGGTGCTTTCCACTTAGTGACACAAGTCGACACAAGCATCATTTTATCTGTTCCGTGTTTAATAAACAAAGATAGGATGATGTTTGTTACCAAATGGGAAATACCCAATGAAGTTCAAATTATGCTCTCATTTATTATTATTTTTTATTGAAAATATATAGTTATATGTTGCTCTTCTTCCTCTAAAAAGGAAATGCTATTCCTAAAATAGAGAACATATAAAAAAAAAAATACAGGAAATTTTATATATGTATATATTATCTTTTGTCTCTCTCTCGCTCTTTTTCTCTCTCTGTAGGTTATAAAATAGTATTTTAAGGAGGAGGTTTATTAGTAGTCAGTATATAGCATTCCCTTTGCCACTGTATCAGCCACATCTTTGTTCAGCAACTTTTCAACAATGGCTAGGCCAAAAGCAAAGGCTGTTGCTGGTCCTCTGCTTGTTATTAAATTACCTATAAGAATACCGAATATTGACATATCAGTTCCAATGTGATCTTCAGATAAACTTGATAGCAAATATATGGTAATGTAAGGTAAACCAATTATTACCATCTGTCACTACTTTATCCTCCAAATAATTGTATTCCTTGGCTAGTTCATCTTTCATTGATGGATAAGAAGTGATTTGCTTTCCTTTACCAATCCCATGAGCTTTCAAAGCTATAGGAGCTGCGCAAATAGCTGCTATCACTCTGTCTTCTTTCTCTTGTTCCTTTAGTAGATCTCCTATTGCTGCAGACTAAGAAAACAATAAGTTTTCTACCTGTATGTATGTATGTATGTCAATTATATAATACAATAATAAACTTACCGATGCGAATGCCTTTGATCCACCTAAGCCACCTGGTAGTATCACTACATCATATTTTTTACTCTTACTGGCGTCTACGAGCTTAGCATCCGCACAAATCTTAACGTCACGACTGCATTTCACACAATTAGCATCTGACAGACTAGCCACTGTAACAGCAACCTGTCCAACAAGTGAATGTGACTTTACATTCACTGCATAACTAGGTAATATATGTACTTAGATGCGTTAATGTTGTTGTACATGTAGAGATCGTAATCAAGATTTCGACAAATTTCGCAATGTCATGAAGAATTTTTTTGACAGACTATTAGAAACTTACTCCGGCACGTCTTAAAATGTCAGTGGTTATCACTGCTTCCATTTCCTCCGATCCGTCGGTGATCACCAAAAGTGCGCTTTTCTTTGCCATGTTTGTGCAGATGTTCTTACGTGCTATGCCGTAGGCGAAACGCGAAAATTTAGGAAGGACAGCGCACAACATCAGCCATAAAGATAAGGTATGTTCGATCAATGAGTCGATATTCTCCCTTTCTCTCTCTCTCTCTCTCTCTCTTTTAATATTGGTTCCAGACATGAGTCGATATTCGATTCTGTTTTCGACAAAGGATCGATTATCTTTTCGATGTTCCTAAATTCGATCGCCGTCTGCGTCAATAATTTTACTAGGATTTTTATTTTTCAACAGTTAAATTTGAGAGGGACTGTTTTTTCCGTTAAAAAATAGAAGCAAGGTCTATCCGATCCGCTGTTCAGTCGTGATATTGAAGAATAAAAAGCTTTCCTGCTTCTTCCGTTAGACCCGGTATTTCGTATTAGTCTCGAAGTCTCCGCTACGAGCCGCCACCATCCTGAATGATGAATGGAAAGCCGAACGACAGGTCAGAGGCACTTTTTTTACTTTCAAATTTTTCACACTCCGACATCAAAGTATATATCTTATTATTTTCACACAGTACAACTACTCTCTTCTCATTCTCCCTTCCTCCATCAACGAGACAATCTCCGTACATCATCGAGATACATAGACGTTATTACCGACGATTTCCTAGATATCGCCGAGTTACAAAAGGAACTAAAAAAAAGGCCATCGGTCATTTTCAGGACCGCTTGTGACGTCTCCGTCCGTCATAAAAAAAACCAGCGCTTTTTTTTCCAATCGATCCTCGGGCAGGTCGATTTTTTCCTTCCCATCGCAGCCCATCCCCGCGTACGTCTCGCGGAGGGTGCAGAAACGGAAGTGGTGCCGAAATTGCGCATGAACTCAGCCGACGTTACTTCCCGAGTATGCCCGGCCGCGTCGCTACCGCTGCGTTGCATTATGGCCGCTGCGTTTGGGTGTTGTGGAAACTGATCCCGTAGCGAGAGAGGCACCGAGGTCGGATGAGTCGTCGTCGCTGCCGCTGCACCTCTGCGAGCGAGTGACCGCTGCGACGAGCCCGCACGAGCATCACACGGTGGCGACGGTGCGTCGCCGGGTTACGTTGACCCGTCGTGATCCCCACACGCAGCGTGGGAGCAGCGAACGTGCGAGAGCGCCGATCATCATCTCCGCCGAGGCACGATGACGCGTGCACGTCGCTGAGGGAAGCTGCCGATCGGACCGCGGAGACAACGGGTGAGTCGGCCTGGTGCCCTCGTAGAGCATGCGTCTACGCATTCCGCGTCGATCGTTCCCGCGGGACGCGAGCTTCGCGCCGAGACGCCGTGTTTGTACAGCGTGACGCGATTATCGCGTCGAGTCGATCCGCTCGATCTCGATCGCGCGGAGATATCGTGCGCCCGCGTGTCTGTGTGTGTGTGCGTGTCTCTACGTGTCCGCGCGCACCCGTGTGCGTGCGTGTGTGCTCCACGACCTTGCACGACGGATCGCGCTTTTCCTCGCGTTTCCTTGGCACCGACCTCGAATTCGCGGTTTCGCTCGTCGTCGTCACTCGCTGCCGCTCATCGAGCGCGCGCGCGATTCGCGGGCTCCTTTCCGGCGTCTTTTCGGTCGTTGCGTCGCGCGAGGGACGAGGTGGCCGAGAGCTTGTTCGCGCTTGTTAATTAGCCTGTTTATACTGCTTTCACCGTGACTTAAGACCACTTAAAAAGAGAAAGAGAGAGGATGAGCGAAGGATATGGATGAGAGAGAGAGAGAGAGAGACAGAGAGAGAAAGAGCAAGAGATGGGTGAGAGGGAGAAAGAGAGAGAGAGAGAAAGGGAGAATGAGAGAAACAATGAGACAGAGGAATAAATATTACTTGCTGCATCGTACAGTGATACATTGTACAGTACAATACGCAGAATATATATATACATACATATATATATATATATATATATATATATATGTGTATATACATGTGTATAGTGGAAGTCCTACATTGTAACTTTGCCTGATTTCTCGAATCGCTCCCAGAGCGTGCGATGCAAAATCGTAAGTGTTTTTTTGTTTGCTCACTTTGTTTCGATTTGCAAGTACCAGTGGGCTCAGGTTCGCCCAAGTCAGAGAATACTTTGTGTTCTCGCCTTTAAAGTTCACTTTGTCGACTCTCAGGCGACTTGGCATTTGTTTTCTTATTTTTTTTTAACGCTACGAGAGAGAGTTCAAGCTTGCAGATCCACAATATGCATATTATAGGAACACATACACACACACGCACACTACAGTGCGTTGTGCTTCCTCTCTTGATCTAGTCATTGCGTATCGATGATGTACAAGTTAAGTACTGTTAAAGATTCGTCGAGTTTCGCCAAAGATTCCGCAATTAATTGCAGAGACGGTCTCGCGCTCGTTGCTCGCAATCGATTTTGGCATTGCGAGATGAAAACACCTATATTATACCTTTCTCTCATTCGTTCGCGCCGAACAAGGGTAGTCCTTAGCGACATCGTGTTGAGCATGTTAAGCAGTGTATGTTCTATTTTCTTGTCAAATCGTCCTCAAGTCAATCTTCTCACTCGTATTGATGGCATAACTATTCAGGGGGTGTGGATGATAGGAATTTACTGAAAGTCGAAGATCAAAGGCATTCAAAACGCTGGAGAAAGACGGCGGAGCTTCGGAGGAGGGGGAGATGTCAGCTGGCACCCAGGGCGAGATTCGGGTTGGCCCTTCCCATCAGGTTTGACATGCACATCTTGAAAAAACCTTTTTGCTACTTAGCGGTATCGCGCACAGTGCGCCTATCTCGAGGCTTGTCCAATTAGCGTAGTCATTTGTCGCCGTATTTATTTTAACGTGTGCTGAGGGTCGCGCGCGCGTGCGTGTGGATCGCGCAGCAAAAATCGCGAGTCATCTCGCATCTCGTTTGCATTAATTCCAATTATCGTTACGTAATATAATGGTCAACGATTGAACGGTTGAGTCGCGCGCGATATCCATGAAAGAGATAGAGAGAGATCTCTTCCCGAGATACACGTGATAAAAAATTCTCTATTATTAGAAAGTATCCGCGCGATTGTCATGGAAATACCGTGTGGATTTAACGCTTAATCGAGCAATTAAGCCGCCAATTAAGTGAAACTGTTGATTCCGCACGGACGAGACTCGATATTGAATTATCGGGAAAGAGTCGCGCGATAGCCACACGACAATGATAATCCGCGCTTCTTATCATACGGAGCATGTATTTTTTTTCTATTCTCAAGCGGATCGCTCGCACACACATGTAAGAGTCAAACGGGAAAAAGTGATTATGCAAATTTTTCACACGCTCTTTACATTAAAAAAAAAAAGAGAGAAACGAGTAGAGCGAGAAAGTAAACAAGCGTAAAACGCGCGCGCCTGTACATGTGTATCCGTACAATTGTATGCGTGCGTGTGTGTATATGTGTGAATATATGGGTGGGTAGGTGCGCGCTTGTGCTTTACGTATGTGTGTGTGTTTTATTTTTTATGTATGTCATATATATGCGTCTTTCGAACAGCACGCACGCGCCTACAAAATGAGAACAAAGAACTTCGGAAAGCAACACAACGCCTTTCAGCGTATTTTACGGGACAATGAAACAATGAAGGAACGTTACGTAAATACGCGTGTAATCTAATCTCGGATGTATGAAGTGTGCGCATCGGTCTTGAAGTTGAAGTCTAAACAATAAAACCGATAACGTAACCGGCCGTCAGCAAACGTATTATCGTATCGTGTGCTCCGTGTGGAAACTTGCACTTCTCTCGTCGTCGAATTAGGGCCATGACATACAAATTGCATATGTAATCACTACATAGAAAAGAATTAACCTTAAACCCGGGAATAGNCCCCCCCCCCCCGTAAACGATCACACGAACACTTGTGATTATTCCGTTTCTTAAATTTTTTTTTATTTCTCCCCCTCTTTTTTCAAAAAGTGGCTAGTAAATCTATACTTATAACATCCCTAAATAATAATAAATAGAGTAATCGATAACATTCTATACTTTACGTTAATAATAGCGACTTTTAATTGTGGTTTAAATAATCCCAGGTGATTATTCCCGGGTTAAATCGATAATAGATATTCTCATATATAGGCAAGAATACTGTAATGTTCTTAGAAGATTTTTAATCTGTAGTTGAGTACAAGTAATACTTGCGTCAATACAAATTCAATCAAATTAAGATTAGAAATTGTCTAAGATTATAACTTTCCTGCTCATATATGAGAACGTCTATTTTTAACTTAAAACTAATTTTTTTTCCGTGTATATTGCTTTGGGTTTATGTATTCCAAATGACGATAAATTTAGCTTTGAGCAGACACAACTAGATTTCAACGGGTTAAAGTCTTAGTCACTTCTGCATAAAGTCAAATTTATCGTCGCTTCTAACGTCTTTTGGAATAAACCTAAAACAATCTAATGATTGGTTCTTCAGCTTAAGATTATGGTTATAATTACGGACACTTTATGCTGCGGCCCTTATTCGACGAGAGAGGACGTACTGGACGTACTCGAGCACTCAAATCTCCACGTGGCGATGTCTTCTCACTCGGGTGCGTTCATTCGTAGATTCATCAGCGCGCGTGATCGAGCGATAGGGATCGGGCGTTAAACGGTGACTCTCGACTAGGTGACTATCGCGAAGCGGCGACGCGCTTAACTTGTTACGGCTTTCGCGTAGGTATGTGTGCTAGATACAAGATCGCGATAGAATGCAAATTGGGAAGCCGTATCGGCGCGAAGATCGCCGTGCGAATCCACGATCTACCCTCGCTGGTAAATCCGATGGTTCAACTAACGCACTCACTATTGGAGAGCCTCGAATGTTTCAGGTGTATTGATGGTCTTGTCCACGTAAGATACGTGAGACGCACTCGTCGGGCTCTCTCGGCAATACTTGCTGCATCGTACACTGAAAATTTTCTTTTCGTAACTACTATCAAAATATACGATGTACACACATATACGATTTGCAATATAATTTTTTTTTCTTTTTTTTTTTAACTTTCGTCAGCTGAATGTATCATGGAAAGAGCAAACTTCATAGATACGTTTAAGTTAGCGAAATTAAATTATTTTTTTAGTTTCTTCCTGGTTTTTTGGGGGAAAAAATCGATATTTTTTTTCAGTGGAAAATGATATGAAAGATAATGGAATATTTAAATATTTAAGTGGGGTCCCAGCGCTGCCATCCTATCAGTTAAGACACCTTTTTTTTTTTTTTTTTTTGACAAATCGTTAAAAAATTGATTATCCTTTAAAATGAGTTACTATAATTATCCTTTTTTCCAAGCTGCCGTTAAATTTATAAAATATGGCTGTTCTATATATATTTTTGCCATCTCTCTTAATAGAACTGCTCTGAAAGCGTACTTGTGTTGTTCATGCCCATTGGCCGAAAGACCACATGATCTTGTTATGAACTTTCAAACCGTATCATGAAAAGAACTCGTTATACATGAAGATAAACCTGAGAAAATAAGAGTAACTGTTGCTTAAATGGCCTTAGTTACTCTTGGAATTTTACAAAAAAATATATGTTACTTTTGGTCACTGTTTTGNCTTTTTGTCCCCCCCCCCCCCCCTTTTTTTTTTTGCCAAGGAACGGTCACTATTTCATTCTTCTTTCCTCCGATGACTGGGTAGCAACGTTGAAATCCGTATATGAAAATATCTATACTTTTTCAAGATGTCTATAGGTATATAAAACAATATTCGTTGCTCGGTGGGTAAGGCGCTAAACTACAATACTGGAAGTCCGAGGTTCGATCCCCGGTAAGAGTCATTTCTTTCTCATCGTATTAAGGAACTAAATTTTTTGGTTGCAGTAACCAAACAGTTCGTTGAGCATATACATTAACCAAATTATTCAGTTAGGTTTACCTAAATCAAGTTACGACGCTTAAATTAATTTCTCAGTGCACGCGTCCTGTACGCGCGCCGGTCGATCGCGATCGTTCCGCCAAAACCGGCGAGATTACCTCGTTAATTACTCTGTTCTCGCGGGAGAAGAAATATCTTCCTTGGCAAGCGGCAGCATAGAGCAGCTATGCGTGAATCTACATGTACATACACATACTATGCTTAGGAGCGATGCATGAGGATAATAATTGTATAATTTATCTGGCGTGAGATTGCGCTTTCTTCATTTTGGAGTGGTATTCAGTCACGGTGAAGTAACTCGAGCGATCGATCGGTCGATCAGTAAGCAGATCAACTCGCCTCTGCACTATTTACATCTGTTGACAATACAACAATTATTCTCCATTGCTTACTTGAACCATCTGTGAGCACGAGCACTGATTTGGAATCGAGATTTTGCCACGCGTCGACCGATAATTCTCGAGTGGATCGGACAGAGATGGTCTATAGCTCTTCCTTTCAGGAATCAACTTTTCTTTTTCATCACAACTGAATGTGATAACTGTACAATTATAATTGAAAAAAAGAAATTTCCGATCGAATGGTACGTTTCGGCATGTTTGCTTGAAGGAGAACCGATTCCAGATCGGCCGAAGAGACCGTGGAAGGTAATTCGCTGGGTCCGAAACTCTGTATGCGTAGTAAAACGTAGTCGCCGAGGTAATGTCAATAAATAGCGCCGAACACCGCGCGGATCACTGAGGCTACGTGTTCGTTCCCGTGTTAGCCGTGTCTGTGACTAATCGATAGCTCATAAATCGTCCGTTCGTCGCTTTTATTTTCTCCTCTCCCGCTTGGTCGAGTTTCGCCGTCGTTTTGCCGAGAATAGAATAGCCTCCAATATCAATCTCGACAAACACGCGTCGCGAATTCGCCATTCTCGGCGAATAAGTAACGCCCGATAAATACATTGCGCAAGTTACATACACACGTAGATACGTAATTTCTATCTTTACCCCCCCCCCCCCCCCCC